ACCAGGAGTAGATTCCATCTCAAGAAACTATTTTTTTGCTCATCCATAAGAAGTAATTCCTCATCTGTTCAAGTTTTATCATGAGATTGTAGCAATTCAGTTACATCTTCAGGTTCCACTTCTAACTCAAGTTTTCTTGCTATTTCCGCTACACTTGCAGCTGCTTTCTCCACTGAAGTCTTGAATCAATTCAAAGTAATCTATGAGAATTGGAATCAACTTCTTCTAAACTGCTGTTAAGGTTGATATTTTGACCTCCTCCTACGAATCATAAAAGTTTTAAATGGTATCTTGGATGGTAAATCCTTTCCGTAAGGTTTTTAATGTATTTTTCTTAGATCCATCAGAAGAATCACTATCTATGGCAGCTATAGCCTTACCAAATGTATTTCTTAAGTAATAAGACTTAAAGGCCAAAATTACTTCTTGATCCATAGGCTGCAGAATGGACATTGTGTTAACAGGCATGAAAACAACATTAACCTCCTTGTACATCTCCATCAGAGCCCCTTGGTCACTGGGTACATTCTCAATGAGGACTAATATTTAGAAAAAAAAATATCTTTTTCTGTGCAGGAGGTCTCAACTGTGGCCTTAAAATATTCAGCAAGCCATAATGTAAACAGGTGTACTATTACACATGTATTGTGTTCCATTTATAGACTATAGACAGAGTAGATTTAGCATAATTCTTAAGGGCCCTATGATTTTTGAAATTGTATGATTTCAGTTATTTTGCATTTGCTGAGGATTGTTTTGTTTCCAATTATGTGATCAGTCTTAGAGTAGGTGCCATGTGGGTGATGAGAAGAATCTATATTCTGTTATTTTTAGGTAGAGAGTTCTATAAAGGTCTATCAGATCCATTTAGTCCAATGTTGAGTTCAGTTCCTAAATATCTTTGTTAATTTCCTGCCTCAATGATCTGTCTAATACTGTCAGTGGAGTGTTGAAGTCTCCCACTATTATTGTGTGTGAGTCTATGTCTCTTTGTAGGTATCTAAGACCTTGCCTTATGAATACGGTGCTCTTGTGTTGGGTACATATATATTTAGGGTAGTTAGGTCTTCTTGTTGAATTGAACCCTTTACCATTATGTAATGCCCTTCTTTGTCTTTTTTGATCTTCGTTGGTTTAAAGTCTGTTTGTCTGAAATTAGGATTGCAACCCCTGCTTTTTCCTGTTTTCCATGTGCCTGGTTGATTTTCCTCCACCCCTTTGTTTTAAGGCTATGTGAGATAGGTCTCTTGAAGACAGGATACCATTAGGTCTTGCTTTTTTATCCAGCTTGCCACTCTGTGCCTTTAGGTGAGGCATTTAGCCCATTTACATTCAGGGTTAGTATTGATATGTGTGAACCTGATAATGTCATTGTGTTGTTAGCTGGTTATTATAATAGCTTGCTTTTGTGGTTGCTTTATAGTGTCACTGGTCTGTGTATTTAAGCGTGTTTTAGTATTAGATGGTAGCTGTCTTTCCTTTCTATATTTAGTGCTGCTTTCAAGATCTCTTATAAGGGAGGTCTGGTAGTAACAAAATCCTGCAATATTTGCTTTGAATCTTTTTTCTCCTTCACATAGGAAACTTAGCTCGGCTGGATGTGAAATTCTTGGTTGAAGATTTGTTTCTTTAAGAATGTTGAATATAGACCCCCCCATCTCTTCTAGCTTGTAGGGTTTTAGCTGAGAGGTCTGCTGTTAGCCAGATGGGGTTCCTTTTGTAGGTGATCTGCCCTTGCTCTCTAGCTGCCTTTAACATTCTTTCTTTCATTTTGATCTTGGAAAATCTGATAATTATGTGTCTTGGGTATGATCTTCTTGTGTAGAATCTTGCAGAAGTTCTCTGTATTTCCTGAATTTGACTTTAGGTCTCTCTAGCAAGGCTGGGGAGAACTGGCTTCAACTTAAAGTCACCAACTTCATTAACCCATAAAAAAAGGATCAGCCTTCCCTTTGAAGTTTTGAAGTCTTGAAGCCAAGCACTGACTTTTCCTTTTTAACTATGAAAGTCTTAGATCTTCTATTGACATATTCTTCCAATAGGCTATTTTGTCTGTACTGAAAATCTGTTGTTTAGTAACCTTCATCACTGATCTTAGCTATATCTTCTGGATAACTTTCTGCAGTTTCTAAATTAGCACCTGCAGGTTCATCTTGCACTTTTATGTTATTATACAGATGGCTTCTTAAACTTCCAACCTCTGCTAGCTTCCAACATTTCTACTGTAGCTTTCTCTCTCAGCTTACATAAAACTGAAGAGAGTTAGGGCCTTGCTCTGGATTAGGCTTTGGCTTAAGGAAATGTTGTGGCTGGTTTGATTTTCTATCCAGACCACTCAAACTTTCTCCATATCAGCACTAAGGCTGTTTCACTTTTCTTTTCTTTTCTTTTCCTTTTTTTTTTTTTATCATTTGTGTATTCACTGGAGTAGACTTTTATTTTCCTTCAAGAACTTTTCCTTTACACTCACAACTTGGAAAACTCTGTGGTGCAAGAGGCCTGGCTTTTGGCCTATATTGGCCTTCAACATGCCTTCCTCACTAAGCTTAATTGATTTAAACTGAGAGACGTGATTCTCCCTTTCACTTGGACACTGTATTAGTTTGTTTTCATGCTGCTGATAAAGACATATCCAAAACTGGAAATAAAAAGAGGTTTAATTGGACTTACAGTCCCACATGATTAGGAAGGCCTCCGAATCACGGCAGGAGGCAAAAGGGTCCTCTTACATGGTGGCGGCAAGAGAAAAATGAGGAAGACGCAAAAGCGGACACCCCTGATAAACTCATCAGATCTCATGAGACTTATTCACGATCATGAGAATAGCACAGGAAAGACTGGCCCCCATGATTCAATTACCTCCCCCTGGGTCCCTCCCACAACATGTGGGAATTCTGGGAGATACAATTTGAGTTGAGATTTGGGTATGGACAGAGTCAAACCATATCATTCTGGCCCTGGCCCCTCTAAATCTCATGTCTTCACATTTTAAAAGCAATAATGCCTTCTCAGCAGTCCCCCAGAGTCTTAATTCATGTCAGCATTAACCCAAAAGTCCACAATCCAAAGTCTCACTTTAGACAAGGGAAATATCTTCTGCCTATAAGCCTGTAAAATAAGAAGCAAGCTAGTTACTTCCTAGATACCACAGGAGTACAGGTATTGGGTAAATACAGCTGTTCCAAATGGAAGAAATTGGCCAAAACAAAGGGGTTACAGGGCCCATGCAAGTCTGAAATCTAGCAGGGCAGGCAAACTTTAAAGCTCAAAAATGATCTCCTCTGACTCCATGTCTCACATTCAGGTCAAACTGATGGAAGAGGTGAGTTCCCATGGTCTTGGGCAGGTCCACCCTGTGGCTTTGCCTAGTACAGCCTCCCTCCTGGCTGCTTTCATGGGCTGGCATTGAGTGACTGCGGCTTTTCAAGCAGCACAGTGCAAGCTGTTGGTGGATCTACCATTCTGGGGTCTGGAGGACAGTGGCCCTCTTCTCACAGCTCCACCAGGCAGTGCCCCAGCAGGGACTCTGTGTGGGGGCCCTAACCCCACATTTCCTTTCTGCATTGCCCTAGCACAAGTTCTCCATGAGGGCCCCAACCCTGCAGCAAACTTTTGCCTGGGCATCCAGGCATTTCCATACATCTTCTGAAATCTAGGCAGAGGTTCCCCAACCTCAGTTCTTGACTTTTGTGCACCTGCAGGCTCAATACCATATGAAAGCTGCCAAGGCTTGGGGCTTCCATCCTCTGAAGCCACAGCCCAAGTTCTATGTTGGCCCTTTTCCGCCGCAGCTGGAGCAGCTGGGACATAAGGCACCAAGTTCTTAGGCTGCACACAGCACAGGGACCCTGGGCCCGGCCCAGAAAACCACTTTTTCCTTCTGGGCCTCTGGGTCTGTGATGGGAGGGCTGCCATGAAGGTCTCTGACATGGCCTGGAGACATTTTCCCCATGGTCTTGGGAATCAACATTAGGCTCCTTGCTACTCATGCAAATTTCTGCAGCCGGCTTGAATTTCTCCTCAAAAAACGGGTTTTCCTTTTCTATGGCATCGCCATGCTGCAAATTTTCTGAACTTTTATGCTCTGTTTCCCTTTCACAATGAAATGCTTTTAATGGCACCCAAACATTCACCTCTTGAATGCTTTGTTGTTTAGAAATTTCTTCCTCCAGATATCCTAAATCATCTCTCAAGTTCAAAGTTCCACGAATCTCTAGGGCAAGGGCAAAATGCTGCTGATCTCTTTGCTAAAACATAACAAGAGTCACCTTTTCTCCAGTTCCCAACAAGTTCCTCATCTCCATCTGAAACCACCTCAGTCTGGACTTAATTGTCCATATTGTTATCAGGCTGTTTGGTCAAAGTTATTCAATAAGTCCCTAGGAAGTTCCACACCTTCCCACATTTTCCTGTCTTCTTCTGAGCCCTCCAAACTGTTCCAACCTCTGCCAGTTACCCACTACCAAAGTCACTTCCACATTTTTTGGTATCTTTTCAGCAATACTCCACTCTACTGGTACCAATTTACCGTATTAGTTTGTTTTCATGCTGCTGATAAAGACGTACCCGAAACTGTGAACAAAAAGAGCTTTAATTGGACTTATAGTTCCACATGGCTTGGGAGGCCTCAGAATAATGGCTGGGGGCAAAAGGCCCTTTTTGCATGGTGGTGGCAAGAGAAAAATGAGGAAGAAGCAAAAGTGGAAACCCCTGATAAACCCATCAGATCTCATGAGATAAACCCATCAGATCTAGTGAGACTTACTCACTCTCATGAGAATAGCATGGGAAAGACCAGCCCCCATAATTCAATTACCTTCCCCTGGGTGCTTCCCATAGCACATGGAAATTCTGGGATATACAATTCAAGTTGGTTGCGGACACAACTATACCATATCAGACATGTAGAGGTCACTGTAGCATTAATAACGGGCCTAATTTCAATATTATTGTGTTTCAGGGAATAGGGAAGCCAGAAGAGAAGGAGAGAGATAAGGGATAGGGAAGCCAGAAGAGAAGGAGAGAGATAAGGGATAGGGAAGCCAGAAGAGAAGGAGAGAGATAAGGGAAGAGCCAGTTAGTGGAGCAGTAAGAACACACACAACATTTAGTTATTAAGTTCCCCACCTTATATGGGTGCAATTCATAGTGTGCCAAAACAATATAATAATAGCATCAAACATCACTCATCACAGAGCACCATAACAGATATAATAATAATAAAAATGTTTGAAACATTGCAAGGATTACCAATATGTAACACAGAGAACCAATATGAGCACAAGTCATTGGAAAAATTGAGCCAGAAGACTTGCTCGTCACAAGGTTGCAACAAACCTTCAATTTGTAAAAACACAATTATCTACAAAACACAATAAAGCAAAGCACAATAAAATTATGTATACCCGTATATGGCTCACTGGTATTCATCAGCTGACTACTATCAGCAACATCCTTAGATATTGTTTCTAATTCTACAGTTGAACCATCTAGAATGAATCCCATTGCCGTGAAACTCAGTTGAATTATTCCACTTAATTTGCTTTCTAAATGAAAACTACTGTTTTGAAACTTACCAGTGTGTGATTTGGTTGTAATCATATACAAAAGTAAATTTATCTCTTTGCTCATTTTAGGAGCTATTGCCACATAGTCCTCATTGGGCTTCCTGTTTCATCTGAAAATCTTTCTCATTCCTCAACCCCCAAAGAGAAATAGATCTAAGACTTCTGAAGCAAGACATCATTTTTGTCTCCTCTATTATCTTGCACAATGCTTAGAAAATTATAGGTCCTGATTTTTTTTCCATTCAGTATATGAGGACTTGGTTGAACAGAGGCATAGACAACCACCTCACCACAAGGCAAGTAATCTCTAGATTTTCAGACTCTTTCTGAAAACAAACAAACAAAAAAATCTTGGAATTCAGATTCTTTCTTAAAACCAGAAAAATAATCTTGGAAGTAAGAAAAGTTGCTCAAACAGTAACCCCAAGGGAAACAAATCTTGGAAGCAGTGAACAGTAGTGAGTAGATAGCAATCTCTTTTTTGGGATGAGTTGGGGGTTTGGTGTGGACTTTTTGATTTGTCATATTAAAATCAGAGGTATAAGATATTCCTTTGTATTTAAACAAAAAGCTTATGATTTGAAGATAAACAGAATATATCGGTTTCACTGCCAAATATATGTTGATCACTGCAGCTGATGTTGAGGGAGGAAAGTGGTAAATGACAGGAAGATGCATCTATTAAACCTGAATTACTCTGTATTTATATGGTCATTTTAACCTTCAAATAGAAAATGTCTTTAATCAAGAAATTTCAATAGACTGCTAAAAACAGAAAATGCCAATGCCATTTCTTCTGGTACATACTAAAATGCATAAATTTCTTACATGATGAATGAGAAATTTTTTTTTTTGATATATGATTTTTTTTCTTGTGTTGACAGAAATTTGGCAGGCAATATATACCACCCTTTATACGCAAAGTGGCTCAATCAACAAATGGCCTTTTTTAAAATTACAAATCTGGTAATCTGTGTCCCTTTAATAGAAAAATGATAGGGATGGATGTTTTCCTATGTGCAATACAAAACTATGGAACAATGGGGTGTTTATTTTGGCTCAGGGACTTTGTAGAAAGGTCCTATCTGTTCTCCCTTCATAAAATCCTGCTTATAAATTAATTACACCCAAAAAGTTGAGCTGAGAAAAACCAACACTTTAGCTTTTCCTGTTGGTCAAAATTGTTAATTTGGGAAATGCAAATAAGCTTTGCAAAATTATTTAAAAACAGCTAAGAGAATATGTGAACATGCTAAAAACTTTTCACCCCGAACTATTTCCAAACATTGACTGCTCCATTTTTGATATAGTTAAAAACTTAGATAAATACATTTTATATAACTAGAACTCTCAATGCAAGCAATATCCTCTCTTCTAAAATAAAAAGTCAACGTTCTCTCTTTCTTCATAAATAAGTTATCGCAGAAAAGCAAAACAATCGAAAGAAAATAAGCCAAAGTAATATGTGCCAAGTGTGGCTTCAGTGATCTGCTTTTTAAGTAGATGAGCTCTTTGGCAGATGAAAATCATTAGCAAAAGAAAATGTAAAGCTTTCCAAAATGTGACAGAAATGTTTCAGAGAAGATCTGCAACATGAATAGCTTTACCAATCCGAAGCTAAATTCTAAATTATATTTGAAAGCCAGGGCAGTGGCCACCTGAAAGGCCTCGAATAAGAAGTACGGAGTAAATCCTGAAAAAGACACTGGCTTAAGCAATTATGACTTCATAGTATATAGACCAAAGGAAGACTATATCTGAGATGCCATCCTGTAACCTGAAAAGTCTGGATATATGCATTCTTAGTGCCCATTGCTGTGTATGGGAGGAAAACGCTCACACAAAACAAATAGGAGAATTTTGGGCTGAATCCAAGGCAAAGGCACCCTCGAGAACAGCCTATGATTCTTGCAAGAGGTTTTCTTCAGGCAAGGAACACAATAGGACTTTTGACCTATTCCCTTGGCTTCTTGCCACTTGCCATATGTACATCCAGCTGATCATTTCGTAAACATTATTGAGCACCTATTGCACACATACACTTTCCAGAGCACTCAAGACCGGTGGTAAAGGTTTCCTACTTCATGGAACTGACATCTAGTGAAAGAAAATTGACAATAAAAAGTTTAAAGAAAAACACTGAGAAGGACACAATTAGGTGGAGATAAAGGCTATAAAGGAAGCACAGTAGGTGATGTGATAGACAGCAACGGAGACCAGAAGGGGTGACTCATATGTAACTTCAGGTCAGAGAAAGTCTTGCAGTTGAGCTGAGATCTGAATGACAAAAAGAAGCCTGCTATGCCAAAATCTGAGGGTGAAGCATTCCAGGCAAGGGGACAATTAGTTTGGTGGGTTAGGGACTAGAAGGAGAGTCGAAGTGGCTGGAGCTCATTGAGCCAATCTTCCTCACTTCAATCACCTTTGATTGTGTATGCTTATACTGCTGCTGTAACATACTCTTGAAACTTGGGGCAAAAGAAGAAAACATAAGTACAAAAAAAGTACCCATGCTTGTAAAACCATCAAGAGGTCTTGGGGTCTTATACATACAATCATGACCCTAATAATCTTGATATCAACTGCCTGAGTGTCATTCCAGTTTATTTTCCAGTCCTGAGACATTTGACCAAGGCTGAAAGCACAGAGAGAATGAATGGCATACAGTGCAGGGTTAAAGAGTGAAGGATGCGACTATAAAAGGAATTGCAAAGAACTGCCTGTCCCCGTGAGATTTATGACCATAAAGCTATGCCATAACGCTTTTTCTGATTGTTCAGGGGATTTACACAAGATCACGAGGTATCTTGTGGTACAATGATACCTCTCCTGCTTTCAACTCACCTGGCTCTTTATTATAGTTTCCCTTGTATAATAGGTACTTTAGGATTTGTCTTGCCACTGCTAACCTATGTGTGTCTTTCTGCAGAAACTGGTCTAATTGATCTCTTATCAGTACCTAACACAGGGCCAGACACATCATGGATGCTCAGTAAGTGATAAATTCCCTGGGATTGGTTTTGGCTAGATTGGACTAATATTCCAACTATAGGCATAGTAATTGTATTCAAATAATATAATTATTTTGTTGTGTATCAGTAATTAATCCCCCCAAACTTCTGTGTCACCCATCAAAGCAAAGAAATATTCACAACATTCATACCAATACCTGGCATAAAGTAGAGACTCAGTGATACTCACTCAACACATGCATGCATATCTTAGTAGACAAATCAATGAAAAAACTGCAGTAAAAACAATTGTACTTATGGTCATTTAATTCATTCAACAATCAGTTTTTACTACATGCGTGATACCCTGCTGAGCACTGCAGAGTCAATGGTGAGGGAGACAGACGTAGGCCTTGCTGTAAAGGAGTTTTCAGTCTACTAGGTCAGCAGATGTGACTGAGGTCATCACACATGAAGGCTACCTAAAATAAATGGTCAACTTCAATTAAAATATAGACAAAGGGTCAATTAATGCCAGCATATAACCATGACATCTTTTTAGAAATCAGATCCACAGACATAGAGCAAGTGGTTAAGAAAGGTACAACTGATGGTAGCTAAAGTTGCCTCTTGGTAACTTGGGATGAGTTACTGAGAGAATTTGCAGAATCTTCTCTTTGGTCATCTATAAAACTATACCAGAGCTTTTTATGTGTGTCCTGGTTGTGTGGGGTCATGTTTAGAGTTAGAAAGAAATACTGAGAGACTTAAATTTGTCTTCTGCCAGTATTCTTTACCATACCAAGATTCTTTTACTAGTACTAAACACTTTAAAAGTAGCAGCTCAGCTATTTTTCTGAGGTATAATGGGAAAAATTAGAATTTATGAGCTGAAAAACAATGCAATGCCTTTATTCTCCCATAATTCAGGAAAAACAGCTAAGTGAAATTTTGGTCAAACTTTCCAAAAAGTTTTGGGCTGAAGAAAAGCATGGAAAAATTCAAGCCCAAAGGAGATATTTCCAGAAATTTAGAAGCAAGTGAAAACAGGGGGTTATAACAGTTCAGTATTTGCCGCCAGGAACAAAGTATATATGATATTATTTATTGCTGAAATCTTTTCAGAGAGACAGCATCTGGTTTCAGTGAGGTCTTGCTTTCATCCCATCCAGCAGCTGGACTAAACACTCCAGCACAAGGAGATCAACCAATTTGCCAGGGTGACACAGCGATTAGCGACTCTTTCCAGATTAGACCACAAGAGCCTCCTGGTTCCTTGAATGCCAAGAAAAAGTCACATGACTAACAGAGTTTAACACTTTTTTTTTTTTCTTTTTTTACTTCAAGTGACTTCTTCAGCTTGAATTTTTATTTGTGTTTATATTTTCAGAGTCCCAAAGAGTGAGTCTTTCTCACTTTGCCACATTTCTCCAGTGGGAGGATCAGATATCAACTTGGTTTCTTGTGAATGCCAAAATGCCCCACCTTCTTCAAGGAGGATTTATTCATCTAGGCCGAGTGTGCTCAATGTAGAAGTCAGAAATGGTCATGCAATATTCCACTCATACTGTGGCAGAGAGAGACAGTGATCCAAACGCTAGCTAACTCTGAACAGAGAGCTTGGGCACTCTGCTTTGGTCATTCCAAAACTGCCTCTCTGAGGCAGGGGAAAAGCTGATGAAGATGAGGTTAACTCTGCCAGGAGAAAGCACTATAAACTTTTACTTCTCTTAGAGCTTTTTCTCTACCAGTACTATTTTTACAGCGCCCTGGCTAGAGACAATGAGTTCCTTCATTCTTTTTGCATATGTCTTCATACCAAAAGAGGAAAAGGAGGCTCTGTTTCCTAAGCATATGTTTTCCCTACACCTCAAGAAGACCATGCTATTTGAGTTGCAAAGGGAACAAACAAGCAACAACACACACACAAACTCTTTTAATAAGAGATTATGAAATTAATGTAATTTCCACCAATCAATCTCATTGTTTTCCTCTGTATCAGTATCCGCCCACATACACACAATTATTAATACTATCATTAATCATTATTATGAATATATACTATATTATATAATAATATATAATATTAATTATTAGAATAATGAATTCAAAAAGCCAAAATAATATATAATATTAATTATTAGAATAATGAATTCAAAAAGCCAACTTTAAGGAAAAAAAGGGAAGAGGGAGAGTGAAGGAAGAGAATTATAACCATTCTTTTTTATGTCTAAACTTCAAGCTCATGGATAACAATCTAATATGAGAAGACAAGGGAACTGACAGAACTGAGCCAGTTAGTCATGTGAATGGACCTGGCATATTCTGGCCAAAAGAATATATCAGAAAGGGAATAAGACCTCATTTGGTCCTTAGACCCCTCAATGGCAATAGAAAGGGCACAGCATCAAGAGAAAACACGCAAGCTTCTGTAATACAAGACAACACCCAGAAGACATGTTGTTTTAATAATGAAAAAAAAAGTCCACTATGAATGACAGCAACCTAACTTCACTTTAAGTCTGAATGAATAATACCACTTAAGAAACTCATACAATTTCAATACAATAAGATTTACAAATTTATTTTAAATTTATTGCAGATGTCAAAACACATAAATACCAAATATTTCACTTCATGCTTCTTTTACATTACAATTTTCTTCTTTAATTGGGGCAGAAAAAAACAGGTCCTGACCATAAAAAAGTGATGAGATTTCAAACATTTAGTTACATATGCATGCTATTCCCTTTTGACTTATTTTTTTTCCAAGGAACAGTCATGCTAATTTTAAAACCGTACTCATTCATTCAGCATTTACTGAGTGCTTACTATGGGCTAGGTACTGATTTAGGCCCAGAGGTTATAGTCATAAACAACGCAGACACATCCCTGCCTTCCTGGAGCTTTCAACTCAGCACTCTTGTTTCATTTCAAAGTTCAGTTACTGTTTTGATAAAGCTCAGTTCAGGTTTTAAAAAGAAAACCTACATCCAAGGAAAATTCTGAAGTTATTGTTGTCTTTCCAAAATTTATTTTCTCAACCCTTCAATTAGTCCATTGGTATAAAACTTACAGTAAATGTCATTCTTAGAGGAAAGAACTTCAACATGATAGTTATTTTTCGCTTTGAGAAGATGAGTTTTAAAATAATAAATGCTTAATGATTTAACCAGTAGGTTCAGCTGTTACATGCCAAACTAAGTGTTATAACAAACACCAGGGCAGGCAGACTGAAAAAGATGCCTCCAAATTTTAAACTTAAGTTCTTTCTCCCCCTAAAAAGCTACAGTGACATCCTTAGTGAACACCAGTAAATAATTACACATTCTGGCACTCAAGTGCAAACAATCAGGTTTCAAAGTTTACCCCAACCAGCTGTCCATAAAAAATCCTTTGACAGTGCCAATAGAGATCAATCTGACCACAGAGGACATGAGGCAACTGGCCAGGACATAAGTCACATAGGTCTACACTTCTGTTTCAATGTAATTTCCAACCCTCTTGCTGATGGGCTCCAAGGCTCTCCAAAGCCACATGAACATGTCTATATATCTCTTCTCAGGAAAAACTGAAAATTAATTTTCTATTTGAGATTCTTCCACTTTCCTTCTTGAATTTTCTTTCTATCTCCCACTTCCTTGTCCTCTTTCCTCCTTCCTTCATTGTCTCTTCCCTACTTTCTCTCCAGGGTCAGATACTGCTTTCAGCTCTTTTCATGTATTATTTTATTGGTGTCATACACAACCCTAAGAAGCAGCTCAGCAATCATGTCATGTTGCAAAAGGGAACCCTGAAGCCCAGGGTCACATAGCTGGGAAGTAGCCAAGCCAGGATTTCAACCAGCTCACCTGACTCCGGAGTCCACAGTCACTGTGCCATATTGCCTCTAATGTGATTTTTGGCTTAAATATTTATGATAAAGATGAACTGGTTTAAGTAGGCAAGTAGCAATGACACCTAAGAAATTAATCTTAATTTCTGCTATGCTTGAGAAAAATCTAACAAACTCTCACTTCACTAAACTGCCTTAAAGGTGGAAATCAAGGTGGCTAATTAATGGGCAATTTATTAAGGGTTTTTGTACACCAACTTTGAGACTTTTATCTCTCCCATGTGGAAGCACGCTGAGAAAACTCAGGAACAAATACCAATTAGAGATAATAATGACTACAAAGAACAAAGACAAAGAAAACAACAAAAATCTAACTTATTATATTACTACATCCTCTGTGCCCCCTCTAAAAACAAACCAAATGAAGTCTTTGTTTCTATTAACATCTATTATTTCTTATTCATTTCGTGAATTAGGAATAGTTTTCAGTGGGTTTATTCTTAGATTTAAACTAAACAACTTCATGGGGCAAATGTTAAAATACTAGCTCCTACAAGATCAACATACCTAATGAACTAATTTTATAAGCTGTGATAAAACTGAAGAAATGGAAAGGTTGCTACTGCCCTCCTTCCACCAAGGCCTTTACACCTCTATTCTATTCTTCCTGGTTATGAAGGTTGGACCACCCACTAAATTTTCTCCAGCTAAATAAACAGCTACAGCTGAAAAAAGTGCAAACTCCTTGGCTTACTGCTTTTATAACCACCCAGTGTTAATTCAAGAATGATTTCCAGCAGGTTACAGACTAAATCCAACAAAATAAAACTGGGATCTTAATTAAGGATTACCACTAAATGCATGAAATCATTAGGTTAGCCCTCAGCCTGCCTGTGTCCACCATTACTCTCCTTTCCTCTGGAACAACACCTTGGTGCCTAGAAGCTAACACTATTTGGATGACATAGAACATAATGGCTTTAATCCCATCTGTGGAAAAAGAAAATGCAGCAGCTTATAAAGCAGATTCCATTAGTAAATTGACTGAGTTTAACGACAGGAAGAAAGTATATTGGGAGATGAAAAGGAAAAACATGTTAACAACAATTGTAAATAGTAGCTGTCTTCATCAAAGAGACACTAGCCTAAGCCAAAATAAACTACAAGGGAAAGAAAACCCTGCTGTTATCAACCAATAAGGCAAAGCTGCTTTCTGGATTTGCAATCACTTTTCTTTAGAGTCATTCTTTGGTTTTCTGGAAGGGACCAGGTTTCTATGGAACTCTGATGAGCTCTGGGGAAAAGCAGCAGCTAAGGTATGTTTAGCAAACATACACTAAGAGTCTACTATGCTCAAGACACTGCATTTTAGTTAAGCTTGCATCATGCTTTATAGCCTTGTAGCCTAAGTACTCTTTGCAAATTCAGTCTGTACTCTTGAAAAAAGGTGACTGCCCTCTCCTGGCCACCTTTCATGAGACTGTTTGCTTTCAGATCTCATTAATAGTTGTCACCATCACCTGTCGCCCATCACTCTTCCTCGTCTGAGATGCCAAAAACTGTCAGGGAAATGCATTACGTGATCAGTTCTTAAAGGTCCAAACATGTGTGAGACTAAACACAGGAAAACTTGCATACATAGTTCTCTTACCAGTGAAATGGGGGACCTTCCACTGACCTTCACACAATCTTTTCTTTCTATCCTCCTCTCACCCTGCAATGACTACAGACTCCCACTAATGTCCCCACTGTGGCAGAATTCCAAGGACAGGCCTGTGCATTACCTTATAAGAGATCCCCATCTAGTCACTGTCTTTGCCTCCAATCTTTATTTGGCCCTGCCCCAATTGTCCACCTCTATTTCTCAACCCCAGCACCTGGTGTGCTGAATTATCCATTTATATTGGTTATAGGGTATCCCAATATCTCTGAATAGCTTCTTTTTTAAAAGAATCTAGAACCATTTCTGTATATGGTTATAGATAGCTGAGAGTTTGAGTAACCCCAGATATAACTCACTTTTCAAAAGTCATAAATTATAATAAGACAGAAGAAAGACCTGGTTAGTTATCAGAGGAGCAAGGCTGGAGATCTCAACAAGGGATGAAGTGTGAATTTATCTTCCCAACATGGACTCCCTGGGTCTGCCAATCCAAAGAGGTGACCTTGGTCATGGAAGATTTGCAGAACAAATCTTGCCTGTGGACTTGTACCCAGAAGGCACTTGTAGGCAGTCAATGCAGAATCCAAAAATTACTTGTAAGATGCGCCCAATGAATTCAGCAAATGTTTTATTTTAGCCATTTGTCTTCAAGGTCAGTTCTGGTTAAAGAAGTTGCTCATTTTTACTAGAAGAAAAAATAAATAAATTCTGGGTGAAGTAAACTTTGTTTTATTTTTCTTTTCCGGTAAGTAATAAAATCATTTTTTTCAAGGACCTTCAGGATAGAAAAGATTTTTTATATTTAACCCATTAATGTTTGCAGTCAACTAATCCCTAGAAATTCCTAGAACAACTAATCCCTAGAACAAAGTCAACTAATCCCTAAAACAAAGAAGGGAAGAGAGGAAGGTAACATACATGAGTTAACATCACAGATAATCCTCAGACCTCTTTAATCAAGTTTTAACCTCACCCTGCTGAACCTTTTTTTTCTTTTTTCTTTTTTTTTTTTTGAGACAGAGTTTTGCTCTCGTTGCCCAGACTGGAGTGCAATGGCATGATCTTGGCTCACCGCAGCCTCCACCTCCTGAGTTCAAGTGATTCTCCTGCCTCGGCATCCTGAGTAGCTGGGATTACAGGCATGTGCCACCACGCCTGGTTAATTTTGTATTTTTAGTAGAGACAAGGTTTCTCCATGTTGGTCAGGCGGTCTCGAACTCCTTAGGTGATCCTCTGCCTCGGCCTCCCAAAGTGCTGGAATTACAGGCGTGCACTACTGCGCCCGGCCCCTGCTAAAGCTTTTATCAGAGCTGCTAAGAAATAACTAATGTGACATATTTAAGCTTCATCTCATCTATTTCCTCTCCATGGCCCTGAGTTGTGCTGCTAATGAGCTGTGAAGTGGGAAAGATAACCGACCTCTATATGGGAGAGAGAAGACTAGAGCTGGATAATCCACAATGTCATTTGGGTTCTCAGCAAAAGCTGCATATTTCCTATTATAGCCCTAGGAGATGATTTAAGAAGGTGAGAGGGCACTTTTCTTCCAAATAATTGCTCCTAAACAATTGAAATTTCACCAAAGAGGTAGATTTCTTTGTGTGAAAGCATCACATCTCCAGTAGTCTTTGAGATCTAAATTTTGCTCAATCAAGTGAGATTCAGAAATGTGAAGGAGCTTGCTAATGATACACAACCTGTCAATGGCAGAGCTGGGACTCAGATCAGAGGGGACAGTGTTTTAATCATAAACTTCTAAGAATCTCTCTAATTCAACCTTATCTCTCTGATCCCTTTAAAAAAATATCCCCCAGAGCCATAAGTTCAGGACATCAAAGTAATAACCTCAGGGTGGACAAAAATGTTGCTGGAGTTGGGGGTGATGCCACCAAAAGTTGCACCATGAATCAGACCTGGCAGAAGGGAAATGACACCAGAAAAAGAGAATGGATCAAAGCTTTCAATTCTAGTTAAAAAAAAAAAAAGTTACTGAATGGTTACTCATGCCACTATAGTAATCAATGAATAGTCTGTAAAGTTAGTTTCCAATGGGCAGCCTGATAGTCAGGTGCAGGGCCCTAAAGGATTTGAAGACAGTGTAAGTATTGCTGTAAAGAAAATGCAGAAATGAATATTAATAGTTTGTTCAGACACATAAACAAGAAGGTTTTCTCTCTATATATATGTCAGGCACTCATCTGAGTACTGTGGCCAGGGGCAGGCTCTCTGGTCACACAGCCTTATAGTTGACAGTTTGGAAAAGCCAGGGAGGGATCAGGTGAGAGAGGTAAGGAGTGAGAAGACAAATCTGGTTGTATCACCAAAACCTTTGATAGCTGTATAGTTGGATCGATTCCAAAATCTTCATGTCATATACACCTACTGCTCTCTCCTCTGCCTACCCTGTGCCCCAACGCCCCCGTGCCTAATGAGTTGCCATTCCCTGAACACATCAGAAATCTGTACTTCTTTGTGTCTTTGAATATGTGGATTCCTGGATCCCCTTACCATTCTCTGCCTTGAGAACCCCTGAGTCCATCGTCTCGCATTGTTTTCATCACCACCCTTGTCCAGTACCAGAGGGAGTTCATTACCATCTTTCTGCTCCTTTATAACATCAGCACTGTGGCCATCACTGTGGAGTATTGGAATGTCCTATTTTTTGACCATACACAGGGATTGGTAGGGGGGGGAAGAGACAATTCATTCAAATTTCCATCAAATATTAATTTTCCAGCAACCCACCAGTAGCTCAAGCATAGGGTTTACCTGCAGTCTGTGGACTTAATTTTTAATTGTTAGCATAAGAGCTTGGATTCCTAGAACAGGAGGGAGCAGGGAGTGGTTATGATGACAGAGGGGTGCAAAAAGATAAATTCAACCTGTATCACAGTATTTTTCCAGGCCAGAAGTTTTAATGTATTGCTGAAATATTAAGACTTTAAATGTCTGAATATCCCCAAGTATAGTGTGAACAGCATGAAACTCTGATGCATCCTAAGGAAGACATAAAAACAAAGTCAGTAAATAAAGGAAGACAAATTATTATCTAACAAAAACAACAAAAAAAGCCAGACGACAGCTCACAAAAACAGAAAACAAACAAAAAAACAAAATACATACACACACATACACCAAAAAAAAAAAAAAAAAAAAACCCAGAGGACTGTAATGGAGTTTGAGCTTAATTCATTCATTCACTCAACATTTAGTAAATGCCTTGTATGTGCTGGACCTTGTTCCAGACACTGAAGATATAATAGAGAAAAACAAAGGAAGAAAACAAGTTTAAAAACCCACAAGTCTTGCCCTCACGGATCTTAATATTTATGGATGTGGTTCAGCCAATACATGAGTAATATAATATATCAGATGATAAATACTACGTAGAAAATTAAACTATGATGTAAAGTAGAGAATGTTGTTGGGGTGGTGGTGTTCTTTTAAATCAGCTGGGTAGAGAGGTTCAAACTATGAAAAATATTTTTAAATAAAGATCTGAAATAGATGAAGAAATCTGTGAAGATTTCTGGAGGGAGAGCATTCCAGGTAGGAAAAGACCAGTAGCAAAAGTCACAAGGTGGGTGCTCACCTGACACATGGGAAATAGCAAAGATGACCCAAGGATTACAGTCTGTTCTATTACAGCATATTACAGCATGTGTTTCTGTGACAGCAAGCAGCTCATATGCTATTGGTAAATAGTGGGATAATATTGGTATAACATGGAAACAAGATTTTTCTTAGGCAAGAGGAGCAAGAATAGCAAGCACAGAATTATAACCTTATCAGGAAAGGAAAAATCCCTGAAGTTGGCGGCTGCACAGACTGCAGTGATTTCAGCTCTCTTAAGGGAATTAAAGATGAGTGCCTGCACCCAGAGGTGTCTCCCAAGAAATATGTCCTCTCCCACCAGGCAAAGCTATCTGCTCAATGCAGGCTGAACTTCTTCCTATGACCACCTTAGTGGTAGGCCCTCTGGCTCAGAGCTCCATTCATCTGCCTCATCTCAGCTCCCCAGTCAGCATCTCCATGCTACTGTTTTTATGCATTTTTAATATTCCTCGAATTGCCTACAGTCAATCTGAGCTGCCTGCCTGCCTGTTATCTCCCAAGGTATCTATTATTGCTTTGGTTAGTACTATAGTTTTTTATGTTGTATAAGATATGAGTGCTCTATTCCAATCGTAATTTTACCATAAGCCCTGTTATTTTTCAAAGTACATCTTGTGTAACAAAAGGTTTTACAGAACACATAAATAGTGTTGTAACAGAAACATCTGCCCAAATGAAGTCAGGGATTTCAGGGAACCAGATCACAAAGGGCCTTACAGGCCATTATGAAAAGGGAAGGCATTAGAAGGCTTTGAGTAGACGCATGAGATGATATAATGTGCTGAGAGCAAAATATAGAGGTGGAGGGAGAAAAATGAGCAAATATAAAAGCAGATAAAATAGGTAAAGGCCTTTGCAATAATCCAAGTGAATGAGGATGGTGGCTTGGACCAGGACGGTAGCAGTGGAAAACGTGAGAAATGGTTACTATTTGCCAAAGAATTGGCTTTAGGAAATGAGAGAAAGAAGGGAGTCAAGGGGGAACTCCAACATTTTTTAACCAAAGCAACCAAATGATGGAATGTCACCAACTGCAATGGGGATAATTGACAGATGAGGCAGTTAGTGGGGTGATCGATTCAGTACAGATAAGGTTGAGGGCCTTTAACGCATGCAAGTGGAAATGCCATCTAGGTAGTTGAATAGAAATGTCTAGAATTCAGAGGAGGTAAATTCTTAAGTTTTTATTTTACAGACATTGTTTAAAGCCACAAGAGCAAATGTATTCAAATGCCTATCAAATATTGATTTTCCAAAAACCCACTAGCAGCTAGAGCACAGGCAAATACTTACAAAGCTTGTGGCTTAATTTGTAACTGTTAGCATTAAAGCCTGGATTCCTAAAATAGGAGCAGGAGTGCTAATAGAGGTAGAGGTGTACAAAAAAAATAGGTGTGAGGCCTGTGCTTCTTAAGTCATTCTAACAGAAGTTGAGGTGAGGAGCAAAAAGAGCAGAGGGAGCTGACAAGAAGGACCTGTGAGGTGTGAGGAAGATCAGGAAAGTGTAGTGTCGTGGAGACCAAGTAAAGAAGAGTGGGTGATCAAATGGGTCAAAGAAGATAAGAATTGAGGATCTGCTACTAGATTTAGCAACTGGGATAGGGTGAGCCATTGTCACAGCAGCCAAGCAGTTTCCATCTGCCGTCCCATCATAATCAATGGAGTATAGAAAACTCTCCCAATAAGTTTTGTTAAAAATAGGGACAGAAAAATGTGGTAGTAGCTAAAGGAAGGCACAGGATTAACAAGTGTGTGTCATTTTTTAAAATATGATTAGGGATATTTCAGTGTGTTTATATGGCAATTGCAATGATCTGGTGGAGGGAGAAAATAAATAATACAAGAAAGGAGAAAGAAAGAAAATTGCTGAGCTAATGTCCCTGAATATGCAAGAGGGAAATAAAGTGTCAGGTGGAGAGGTTCATCTTTGATAGAAGCTCTCTGTTAACAGAAGGCAGGCAAACCATATGGTCACTGAGACTGGGAGGAGTAGATGTGGTGGTGGGAGCATGTAGATTCACTTTTGATTACTTCTGGGCTTTTTGCAGTGAAATAGGAAAAAAGGTTATTTGCACAGAGATAGGGTATGAGAAGTAATTGTTGGAGGCTTGAGGAGAGAGGAGCTATAACATAGTTGTCCAGGAGACTAGGAAAGTGAGTGGATTAGAGAAATATGGAGGAGTTACCAGTCATTACTAATAAATGGCTCAGTGAGGTTACGGCCCATGCATTTAAATTGAAACAAGCCACCACAGTGTGCATTTTCAACAGTAACATTGAGCTCTCAGGTATAGGCAGCGTATAGATGGGAAGCAGGATTAAATCTGGGTTGGAATTTTGCCAGGCAATAGTATGATGAAGCAAGAGAAGTACAAAATAATACTGACAATGAACCATGGAGTAAAGTGTATAAGGTGGGAGGTAAGGATGTTTATTTGTTGTCAGCTGCTAAAGGAAAGTTAACCAGTACAGACTTTAATTATTTACCAAGTAGCAAATGACCACCCATAGATACAAATTTCATCACACAGTGTGATATCTTTTTTCTTTTCTTTTAAAAATATCCATTTTCTTTTAAATTGGTGAAACAACAGTGACATCAAACACAAACTTCCTGCCGGGCGCAGTGGCTCACGCCTGTAATCCCACCAATTTGGGAGGCAGAACCGGGCGGATCAGAAGGTCAGGAGATCAAAACCATCCTGGTTAACACAGTGAAACCCCGTCTCTACTAAAAAATATAAAAAATTAGCCGGGCGTGGTGGCAGGCGCCTGTAGTCCCAGTTATTTGGGAGGCTGAGGCAGGAGAATGGCATGAACCCGGGAGGCGCAGTTTACAGTGAGCCGAGATCGCACCACTGTAATCCAGCCTGGGTGACAGAACTAGACTCTGTCTAAAACAAACAAACAAACAAACAAACAAACTTCCTGCTGGGAGATAGGTGCAATGTGTAATATCTCCATTTATGCTGACAGTAATCATCTCTTAGGTCTTGAGACACTATTTGCAATAAACAGTACACCAATCCTGCTCTCCAATGAAGCCTCCAGAAGATTGTAGAGGCTGGTAAGAGTGTGGATCAGAACATTATCACATAGCTTCAAAAACATCAGAAGTCATTTTTATGCACCTGCCTCCTCCATGCTTCCTTACTACTATCATTTCATGCCTACTTACTGTCCTTTCTGGACAGATTCTCAATGAATTTTCTCTTTATTTTCCCTGGGAAAGTCCCCCTTTGGTGAGCTATCAGACCAGCCTCTCTGCTCCTTAAACACATATGTACCTTTGGGAAAGTCCCCCTTTGGTGAGCTATCAGACCAGCCCACTCGGCTCCTTTAACACATATGTACCTCAGCGATGAAGCTGGGACAGGCTGAACTGACCAGCAATTCTCCTGGCTGCTGTCAGATGCTTACAAGGGTATTTGGAACAAAGTATCAGAAAATGGATGCAAATCCAAGATCAAATGAGGTCAAGGCCCTGCGTTCCTTGAATATGCCATTCTTTTTTGGCAGTGTATGAGGTCTAAAATAGCATTTCCCATCTGGACTAGTTACTCTCTATTTGGCCCTCCTCCTACGGCATATCCACTCCAGGTCTTCCTCTGCTCTGCACTCAGGAGGCTGACTGCTGTGGGCTGACTCTACAGGCTCAATGCTGGCTAACTTCCTACTGGGTTTGAACAATGGCGATTAGAAGGTTGACGGAGAGGTCAGGGATGTCTTCCCCTATGCTCTGGCCTAGCCTATGTCTCTCCAGAAGTCTAGCTTCTGTCACAGGATCCCTCCTCCATGACTCCAGCTCTCTCAGGACTACGGTTTCCTTCTTCTGCAGCTCCAGGCCCAGAGGAGATAACAGCTTCTCATAGCAGCTAGGGCCCGAGTGCCTCAGCATTCCTTGCTAGTTACTTTAATTCTACCCATACTTTTGTACATTTCCCTTAAAGTCTCTTGAAACTTCTGAGTTAGATTGTGTGTCTTGCCAGGACCTGACTGATGTACACCATTTTGAATTCCACCATGTGTAATTTTACAATCACACTTCAGTCCTGAAGCTGCTAGTCCATTGGAACACCAGAGGAAGGAAATCAAATCCTAAGCATGTGTAATGTGATCATTCACTCATTTATTTAGTCTGGGTGAATATGCTAACATTCCTGTCTTGTTAAAAGTAGAGATAGGATTTCTTAATTTTAAAAACTTCAGAAAGGTCCATCAGGGAACCAGCTCTGCAAACAGTTTTTTCAATAAAAGTTTCACTTCTTGAATCAAAGGATACTTACAACGACTAATGGTAACCTTCACTTGAATATTTTTCTATTAACTGTGACCCTGAAACTGTAATCATTTTGACAACAAAGCTGATTTGATATCATAGACAATTATTCAACTAGTCATTAGATTATTTGGGAAGTTCTCCCAGCCTAATAAAAGGCTCTAAGATTCTGTGTCAGAGAAAGAAACATACAGGAAATGGGAAGAATTTTAATGTATTTTCATAAGTTT